CAGAATAAGTCAAAACCCCAAGAGGAATAAGAGATTATGTCTACTAACAAGGCACCAGGGATCAGTTTTTATTGCCCACAGAATGTAATGTTATCATTCCCAGGACTTATTATGAACATTAGTGTGCAGTTACCATGCTACTAAAAAGGAAGTATTACTGGGGAGGAAATCATGAGTCCAGGACACATTGAGTAAGAAACTGAAGGAATCTGGAAGGGCATGTTATAGGCTCTTCTCGTTTGGCCAATTCAAACAACAACAAACCACATTCCTTCATTATTGTGCAGCAAATAAGATAATGTGGAAAACACTGTCAATATTCAAAATACTGTATTATTGAGTCCACTGTTCAGATTATCACCCAACGTATTTAGAACAACTAGAGTAATGATACAGTGAAATTATATTTTCATTTTAATGCCAGTGCATGCAAATGAAGAGATTTGGATGCTAGCACAGGACTACAAGTTCTGGTGCTGAATCAATTCAACATAACACCCAGGATGTTAAACCAGTGCAGCAACCGAGTGCAACAGCAATACTGCAGTTGTGTCATACAAGGCCCCACACGGCTCAGATGTGGGCAGGAAGAGGTGTGGTAGGAAGGCATGGCAGAGGAGAGACAGCACTAAAGCACAGCCCTAGTCACATCCAGCGCTTGAAACTCCAATTGTTCTAAGCGCGTTTTGTGACAGGGAATTTCATTAATGCCAGCAGTTTCTGAGCTCTGGGCGCAGTACTGAGCCTAAGCTTTTAGATTAAAACTGCCACTGTTGGAAGAAAAGGAGGAGCTTTTTTTCTCTCCCCCCCCCCTTTCAGTCACTCTCTGAAGACTTGAGAAGGGACCCTCATAAGAATATTAGGGGGTGGGCAGGGGGAGTATGGCTTTATTTTTTGCAGTCTTCTGATGAGGACTAGACCATGTGAAAAATGAAGGTAAGATTTTAGCTGCAGTTTATTCATTTTCACCTTTGTATTCTTGTTATAAATAGCACACCTGGACACTCAGTTGCAACGCCCATAACCTAGATTCCATTTAGCTCTTAGCTATCATATCTCAGTTTCTAACACGGGTCACATCAGCGGGGGTCAGGCCCTCGCCCATCACTGAAATTGTTGCAATGTTGTAACCACAGAACATAATTATTATCCGAGAGTACCATAAACTTGATATCTCACAGTATGCCAGTTCTTTGTCTCGTACACACAGTCCAACAATCATACGTCATACACATACTGATAATGACCCAAGACGCCCACACATCCACGGATTACAAAGAGAAATTGAAAAGGAGGAAAATAGCAAGGAGAAAGGACACTACACAAAGTAGCTACAAATAAAACACAATGTCACCAAGGAACTCTAGATGACAACTAGGAATACAATACCAACAAGCTTAACTTGGGCTGGTGCAAACACAGATGATGACTGCTAAAAATGAAAAGCTTGCTCTAATTAGCAGCTATTTAAGAATGCCACGAGCCTTGCCTGCAGACATAAGAAGAGCCTTACTAGATCAGGATTATGGCCCATCTCGTCCAGCATTCTGTTCTCACAGTAGCTGCCTATGGTAAGACAGTAAGCAGGACTTGAGTGCAACAGGAGTCACCGACTTGTGATATGGTATTCAGAGGTTTGCCACCTCTGACAAAGGAGTTAGAACATAATCATTGTGGCTAGTAGACCTTGTCCTCCATGAATTAATCTAATTGTCTTTTAAAACCATCCAATTTGATGGCTATCACTACTTCTTTTAGGAGTGAATTCTATAATTTAACTATGCATTGTGTGAAGAAGTATTTTTTTTTTGTCTGCCCTGAATCTTCCAACATTTGTTTTCATTGGATGCCCCTGAGTTCCACTATTATTGGCAGGAGGAGGACATTTCTTTCTCCACACTATGCATAATTTTATACATATCTCTCATGCCCCTCAAGCAGTTAAAAGCACCCTAAATGTTGCAACCTATCCTCATAGGAAATTGAATTGGAGCCATTATGCTGTTTTAAATGAGTATTCTATATTTGACATCCTTTACTAATGTTTTATTTTGAAATGTTTAAGGTAATATTTTTGTTAACTTTGCTGTGTTGTGTATTCTATACCTGACTTCCTTTGCAATGTCTTATTTTGAAATATAAGATAATATTTCAATTTCCTGTTAATTATGTTGCTCTGAATGTATATTTTATACAGGAACAACACCACCCCCAACTTGCGTGTGACCGCATATATGTGTGGCGCCGGAAATAAATAAATAAGTAAATAAATAAATAGAATCACCCCAGGAAATAACAGGAGAGAGCTGGAGAATCCTCATGGTTTGCGATGAGACCCTTCCTGAAGCCCAAAGAGGACATCAGTGAGGGCAGAGAAAGCCCTGAAGAGACCTGAGGTGCAGCAGGGCTTTGTTTAGATGGCTCAGCCTTGCCGCTAACAGCTGGTGTGCGGGGTAGCGCAGCAGCAGCAACCACTTTCCTACACATTCTCTAGCGTTCTCCAGAGCTTTCAACTCTATATATGTTGGTCTGTATTGGGGAAAGAGCGGAAGAGAGCTGGAGAGCAGGGGAAATAGGCATTTAGAGGCATTTTAGAGGGCGGTCCCCACTTTACGCAATTTCACATATGCACGTTGGGACCCAGAGCATGACCCCCATGGAAGTGAGGGGACGCCTGCATTTGATTTTCTTCTGGCGCTTAATGTAGCTCTATAAGACGCACCAGACCATAAAACACACCTAGTTTTTGGAGGAGGAAAACAAGAAAAAAAATATTCTGAATCCTAGAAGCCAGAACAGCAAGAGGGATCGCTGCGCAGCGAAAGCAGCGATCCCTCTTGCTGTTCTGGCTTCTGGGATAGCTGCACAGCCTACATTCGCTCCATAAGACGCACACACATTTCCCCTTACTTTTTAGGAGGGAAAAAGTGAGTCTTATGGAGCAAAAAATATGGTAGGTTGTAAACCACTTTTAGACTTTTAAAAAATATATATAAAGCTGCATAGAAATGAAATGAACACACTCTTGATTATTTAAGTTGCCTTTTTCTGAAACTTTTCCAGCCCTACAATGTATATTTTGAAGTGCAGTGACCAGAACTATGCACAGTATTTCAAGTGTGGTTGCACCATAGATTTATATAAGAGCATTGATATTCACAGGCTTTTTTTCCAATCACTTTCCTAATGATTCCAAGCATGAAACTTGTCATTTTCACAATTGCCGCACACTGGTTGACATTTTCATCAAGCTATCCACTACAACCCCATGGCCCTGTTCCAGTCACCAACTTCACAAGCATTCCAGCTTGCAAGATAGACCAATACTCCCTCTCCCTCTGCATTGTGGTGGGGGTTCTCCTGCCAACACAGAGCCAATTTCAGACAGGTGCAGGGGCACATGGGAGAAGGAGAGAGAGAGCAGAGCCCTGCTGCAGAACTTAAGTCCTTGCGCAGGGCTTTCACTGATAGGGCTGGTTAGGTGAATCCAGTTATCAAGATATGAAAGAGTTACCAAGGGTACTACCAGAAACCTGAAATGGGGTACAAATGTATTCCAAGATACATTTCTGTATAATATGTTCCTCTCGCTCAAACAGAAAACCTGAAGTGTTACTCAGAATAGTTAATACTGGTATTTCACACTTGCTATAGAAACCTTGTAATAGTTTGTGTCTTAATAAGAGACTAGTTCAAAGAAGCCAAGTCAATTTACACCAGCTGCCAGGAACGTGTAATCAGTATGCTGACATAATGCAAGTTGAATTTACTATGGTATAAAGATATGTCTCAAAACAAACACTAATTTGAACATGAAACACAAAATTTTGCACACTGAATCAACTGAGGCCAACACTTGTAAACACATTTACCTAGAAGCAAAGCCCACTGGACACAATGGGACTTACTTCTTAATAAACATTTATAGGATTGCACTATGAAAACCAGAATTCTGGCCTAACGAATTCCTCCACAACTGAGGTGTATCATGTTCCTAGTTCTAGAGCATATTAATATCCATATGTGCACATGCAGATAGATTTGTAAACAATGCAAACTAATTTCAAAAAGTTAATTATGTGTATATGCCCAAAAGTTTATTTAAATCACTAGTGCTTCATGGCCACTTGTGGCACAACAGAAGAGCTCAAAAAATAAAACAAGCCACAAAACCCATAACGAAACCACATTTTGCATACATACTAGCCTTAGACTCTGGTTATTAAAGGCCTGAATGACAGCCAGGAACTGTGATGGTCATAGAAATTTAATATTAGAAAGTCACTGGCTGTCCTTAAGCTTGCTTTATTTTTAAAAATCAAATATGTTTTTAATACTTCCTGTCCTAAAAGGAAGAGAAGCTTGAAATATCATCTGTCAGAAGGCTAATAACTGATGTCTCAGAAAAGCTTGATATACAGTCAACAGGAAGTTATTTATTTGTATGGGAATTCCTTCCAGTGTTTGTAAACCTTGTATTTCATAATCCGGCTAGCATATGTGCTGTGTCAGATTTTTCTATTATTATTTATAACCACACAAGTAAATTCAGTTTGCATCCTGAAAGTTATGAGAACCTCTAAGGGGGAGGGGGTATACTTGTATTCTCCCAAGTATAGTGGACCTTTCGGCGGTTTTAGGTGTCAGGTATCAGAAAAGCTTTAAGTGTTTCATCATAGACCTGAAGAAGAGACAAGCTAGAGAAGTTTAAGACTTTCCCCTTGTCCTCAGACGGGCACGCCTCGGCAGCGTTTGCAGATGCTCTTTTTCGCATTTCTGCAACTCCGCCGCCCCAGAGCCAGGAAACCCGAAACTCTCTGCAAGATGCGCCGCTACCCGCCTTCGCCGCCCGAGGAACCAGATTCGGCGGAGCAGCAGCAGCCTCGGGCGGCGGCGGCGGCAGCAGCGCCCGCAGACCTTGTAGGGGCAAGGCGAGGCTCCCGTCTCGCGGCATGCCGGAGAGCGGACTTTGCAACTTCGAGCCGCCCTTCGCCGAGCGGCTTTCATGCCGCCCCAACCAGCCCTCCTGCCCCCGCTCGCCCAACTTCTCCCCACTCACTCTTGGTGGCGGCGATGAGGCTTTTGCCATCCTTGAGCAGCTCCTTGATGAACTTGTTGGTTTTCTCCAGCTCGGCTTCGTGGGCTCGGATCCTCTCGCGGAACCAGGGGCTGTCCAGGTAGCAGTCGCTGAACTCCAAGGGCTGCAGCCCCATGGCGGCGGCGGCGGCGGCGGCGGCACCCGGGCACCACTCCTCCTCCTCCTCGCAAATCCCTCTTGGCTAAGCACCACCAGCAAGCCGAGCCCCGCTCGTCTCTTTCTGCTCTCCGCGCAGCGCCTCCTCAGCAGGGCGAAGCAGCAGCAGGCGGCGGCGCGGCGCGGCAGAGCCTCTCCCGGCGCAGCATGGGACCCGCGCGGCTCCGGCAAAACGCGCCCCTGGAAAGAGCCAAGCGACGCGGGGAGGGGAAGGAGGAGTCGAGCGCCCGGGACTAGGATACGGCGCGACCGGGTTTGCCAACGTAGCAGCTGCCTGAGGGGGGGAAGCAGCTTCTCGCCGCGGCCCGGTTGCGGCGGGAAAAAGAAAAACAAGCAGCTCCTTTCGGCATCCCAGCCCGCTTGGGCGAAAGAGGCGGCTCCGCCCCAGCGTGGCCTCGGCGCCGCCTTTTCCACAGCTCTGAGCTCCCACCCAGCGCCGGCCTTCTTCTTCTTCTCCTCCTCCTCCTCCGCCTTCCTTTCTGCCCGCTCGGGCTCCTTCCAGCGCCGGCCGTTTGCCTGTCGGCTCCTCCCCTCGCAGCTGCCCAGGGTCTTGCTTCTCTCACGCTCCTTTGCAGGCCCCACTCGAAGCAGGGGCGGCTTCTCTCCTCAAGCCAGAAACTCGCGCCTCACAACCAGCACGTTGTTTACTTTTGCCCTGTCCTGTGGATGCATTCAAATCTACCCGTATCCTCTCATTAAAACCATCCCTTTACTTAGTGGGGCGTTTTTAACCTTCGTTTCAGTAAAAGATTACCCAGAGCAGGAAACAGCTTATAATTTCTTATTGGTGAGGGTTCCGCCCACCCTTTCCTGTTTTAGCGCCTTTATATTCTGCTCCCAAAGGTTACCTTAAAGGTCCCTTTCCGCTCTTAACAATTTTTGAGAATTTGTTTCCAGTTGGGTGTTTGAAATTTGTGGCTTCCAGTGAAGAGACAAATATGGGACTTGGGTCCACGATTCTGCCACTAGCAGCCAGCTCCAAGGTGTTGGTGAAACTGAAACTAACCACAATAAGATACTGTACTCTGCCATATCAATATTGCCTTAAATAATGTGTCTAGTTAAGGGTGTGGTTCTTGGCCATAATTGCTCGGATTATTTTTGTTAAATGGATAAAAGGCATGTTGCAAGTCGGGCTTGCCTTAACTGAGCCAAGCTCCCTGATGGATGGGAGATAGTTCCATGGTTTTGGAACTAAAAAAAAAAAAAAGTGTCTTGTTGCACCTTAAAGATTTTCAGATTTGTTTGTAGTATCAGCTTTCATTGATGAGAGCCCATTTCATCAGAAAAAGCCTAGTCTTGCAGTAAACTCTTGCTGCTAGTTCTCAATGGATAGACAGCACACATGCAGGACTAGGTGCCCCTCATTTATCCTGAACCCAGGCCACAGATTCATTTAAAGTATCAACACTTCCTAGGAACAAGCTTATCAAAAATCTACCTTCTTGTTTTCCCCAGCTAAAAGTTGCACAACTTTTCGTTCTGTTTGGGAAATGGTTTGAGCTGTTCACTATCTTGCATTTTGTGAAATAGGGCTGAGCTAGTATGTTTCCATTAACTGTCCACTTTTCTCTCCTCTCCTTTTTTGGCTCCCTGCCAGAAGAAAAAAAGATGTGCTTCATGGAAAAGCCCTATCTGGGGCTTGCAAACATTTTGTAAAGCGCTGCATCCATTCCATCTAAAATCTGTCACAAATTGCTTTTCTAATCACACCCACTAACGTCCTTTCTCGCTCCCTTTTTGTTAGCATCCAGCCTAAAAAGTTCTGCTGGACTTATAAATTCGTTTCCTTCATGAAATTTTAGGTGGACCTAATAAAACTATAGCGCTGTTGTTTCTTTCGCCCCCACCCCCCCGCTTCCTTCCTATTGTTTTGTTTTTGTTGTTTAAGCAATTCATGAAGTTGAAGTACTGTACAGCAGCCTCTTCGCCTCCTTTCTGCTCATGCGCAAACCGTATTGTAAGGCGGCGGTGTATTTTGCGCACGCGTAAAATACTACTACTCGTTTGCACAATCTCTGCAGAGAGGTTTCCAGGTCAGCAGACGGCTCTGGAAACTCGTCGCTGTCGGTGCTAATCCGGTGTGCGCCGCGGAGCCCTGATCCCGTTTACTTTTCTCGCGATACTTCCTTCGCCCTACTCTAAGATGGCGTCCCTAGGCTTCTGCTGGACCGTGTGAGAGTTTGCCTGGAGTTTTCCGGGCTGGTAGCCCCAGACCGCCCGGATGAATTGCCGAGGTGACCAACTCGCCATTCTTTCTGGCTGTCTGTCCCTGTTTGTCTCGGCCTCCCCCGGTTCGCTTTGCACGCCCTGCGAACAAGCTCAACGGCGTCTCTTCCCACGCCGCATCCATCCCGACGTTCTGCCAAGTGCGCATCTCCGCCTGCCCTGGGCCCTCATTATTGTTCTGAGCAATTGGGAAGCTGGGCGATGAATAAAATAGGTCCAAAAACCTTTTAACATCGAAATGTCTTGTGTTTTTAGAGGAAATGCCTGGTTTGCTTGCCTGGATGGCGTGCAGCAGTGGTTACCATACGGCGTGATCCACTCATGTTTACTCAGAAGTAAATCCCACTCATTCCAATTGGACTTAATCCCAAGTAAGTGTGCCTGTTAATGTAAAGCAAGATTGCAGTTGCTTTTTGTTGGATAGTTTTTGCTGGCTCCTTCCTGCACTAGTTCCATTACAGCTTTGATTCGCCCCCACTCCCCTTTGTCCTCACTCCACAGCCAATAGAAATATATCCCCCTATATCTGTCCCTTTGTCTGGAAGGAATAGATTCACCAACCTCTCACATATTAATGCCATATTTTGTTAAAGACAAGCTGCATGTGTACAATTGTTTATGCCTGCCCATTTCCCTTCACTGTTACCATGATCTGTTTGGTTTACACTAATCAGTTAAAATATTACTGTTACTGCCTTCATACTCCTTTAGTGTTTTTTTAAGCTGAGTGAAATTCCTCCAGCATATGTTAATATTCACCTCTGTTCTTAGAATGAATTTATCAGTCACATGGGCATCTGCATTACAAAATGTTTTAATAACACATGATATATAAAATTCTCATTAGCAAACTACTATGACCAGTAATAGTCACTAGGGCACAGAATAAATGAGCCTTGCCTGATCATGACTCATTATAAAGATGTTATCCAGGCCCCTTGATAATGTGTGTATTTTGGAATCGCACAACATTCAATTATCTATAATGTTGTTTTAAAGTGCAGCTTCCCATGTTTTGCTTCCAACAGGATCACAAGGAACAGAACTTAAAAAAACCCAAAAACATTAACCATGTGGTACTGAACACTATTCCTAGCTTTAACTGACAGATCAGGATCTGCAATTTTGTCATGGTCTGGCATAGCATGGGTCTCATCATTCATATATATATATATATATGGTATATATATATGGTAAAAAAATATACATTAAGGAATGGGTCCCATAATTTATCTTTGGGCTAAAGGTGGGTTCCAGGTTAGAAAAGAGTGAAGATCAATGTCCTAATCTGCAGTTTGTGTTGCACTCACAACAACAATCACACGGTGTCCTCTACTCCCACACTTGGGAACCAGCATGCATCCAATTTGCAAAAAGCTGCAAATGAATCTATAGGTGTTGCATTCATAAGCGTTTTGCTGGAACTCTAACATGAAAAATAGTAAGTGCATTGGCAAGAAATGTCTCTTGAGTATGTTACAGCACTTTCACTTTTGTAGCAATTGGGCTATAATGAGTGCAAAAATGTTGATACAAACATTTTGTTTGCAACTTTTTGTAACACTGCAATAAATGTTTTTGTTTTGGCAGTTCAGAATGCCTAACTCTAAAAGGAGATCTCGGCATAGGCGCAATGTTGGTCAGGAAGCTGGGAGGCGTGAATTAGTGTCTAGATCCTTGCAAAGTGCTCAACACTGTCTGGAAAATCAGGACTTCGGAACTGCATATGCCCACTATCTCTTGGTATTGAATCTAGCTCCTGAGCTTAAAAATGATGTCAAGGTAAGCAGTTGTTCATTGTTCAGTCATTCTCTCTGACAAATAGGCTTATTTGTGTACAAGTTTAGAGACAGAAAATAACATGCAAATAGGCCATTGCATGCCATATATCTATTTACCAATAAAAACATTTTATTAGCGTGGATAAATTATTTTTTGCGACTAAACTATCACTTTCCTTTAGGAAACATTTCAGTATACCCTTTGTAAATGGGCAGAAGAGCTGAATTCTCTCACACGATTTCAAGATTTATTTGATTGCTATGAGCATGCCCTGGAATTATTTCCTAATGATGAAGTTATATGTAACAGCATGGGGGAACATCTTTTCAGGTTTGTAGTTGCCCTTGGTTGTGTTGTATTTTGACTAAGAATTCTAGCATAGTGCTTCTTAAATTTCCATTAATATCACACATTCCATTAAATACTTAATCCTAAATGCACAGATATCTAGCAGTGTTGTGATTACTTCTTCGTGTAGGGCTCAGAAGGGAAAAGTCTTGCACAACTAAGATGTGTTATAATACCTTTCGTGTCCACAGTACTGTTTAATGTACAATGTGCTTTATTTTTTGGTCTGAAAGTCCTCCACACAGCATACAGTTAAACTATTTAATTCACTACCACAATATGAGTAGTGGCTGCAAACCTGGATAGTTTTAAAAAAGGAGATAAGGCAAATTCTTGGCTACTAGTCATGATGGCTGTGTACTGTGTCCAGAATCAGAGGCGCAATGCCTCTGAATATAAATTGCTGGGAAACATGAGTGGGAGAGTGTTGCACTTTGGTCCTCCTTCCAAGTTTCCCATATGCATCTGATTGGGCACTTTGAGAATAATGCTGGACTACATAGACCTTTGGTCTGATCCATCATGATTCTTGTTATGTTGTTATGATTTGGTCACAGCAAATCTTAGTGTTAGATGATTAGTAGTTTGACAAGTTGCAGTAGGTGCCCTTTTCATTCACACAGTGCAGTCCAGATTTGTCTCCTCTTTGCAGTCATTGGTGACATGTTCTCAAAATGTAAGTGTAGATTTTTGTATAATATTTATGGTTGAACGATCTGCTTGCTAGTTTAAGCTTCATTTTGATTGTGTCACTTTCTTCACAGAATGGGCTTTAGGGATGAAGCAGCTGCATATTTCCATAAAGCTGTAAAGCTAAATCCTGACTTTCCAGATGCAAAAGAGAATTTTTATCGTGTTGCCAACTGGGTGGTAGAACGATGGCACTTCATCATGCTTAATGACGCCAGTAGGAATTTGCTGTATCAAAAAGCAATTGAAAAGGCTGTCTGTTCAGGGTGCAGAAGTGTTCTTGACATTGGAACAGGAACGGGAATTCTCAGGTTTGTTGTGAATTCAGTTAATGTAAATGTGTTGATATTTTTTTTCTGAATATTGTGAAACAGATAATAAATTTGCTTTGCTAGGGGGTTTTCTGTGTGTTGTGTTAACTTATTTAATGTGCTCTTCTAAATTATGTTGAAAGTGCCCTGTAATTACTCTGTAACAAAGGGTGGTCTGAAAGGTTAAATAAATTAAAAGTCTCCTCAGTCCCAATTTGATACAGAGGGCCCATTTAAGATTATTAAAACGTTTTAGTTAATATTTGATTTGAAAAATGTTATATTAATATTTTGTCAAAACAAGAATCTCTGATGATTTCTGTTTAATGTCCTCTAATGTTTCAGCATGTTTGCCAAAAAGGCTGGTGCACCTTCCGTCTATGCGTGTGAGTTATCGAAGACCATGTATGAATTGGCTTGTGAAGTGCTAGCTGCAAACGATTTGGATGGAGAAATCAAACTATTTCACATGAAATCTCTTGATATAGAAATCCCAAAGCACATACCTGAAAGGTTACTCTTGTATTTTGTTGTGACATCTTACTTATTTTTCTAACAGAATTGACAATTTGCACTGACAAATTGTAATCTTGTCTTATTGTAATCTTGATTTATTTCTAACAGAATTGACCTCCCACACTGCAGGTGCTAAACATTTTGTTTTTTTTATCACACTGTAGATGGCTACTCTAGCACAGCTAACAGTGGTGGCAAAGCATAGAATCATATGTTGCATCCCCAGGACCAATCGAAATGTCATCTCCTTGCTCTGGAAGCTAATCCTACTTCCTTTGTCAAGATAGTAGCTGAACAGAAATGCCTGCAAGGGGTTTTTCCAGAACTGAGGTGTAATGGGGAAATAGTTGCCTATGGCCTGCAATGCAACATTCCAAATAACTGCAGACACTCTCTTCTCTGCCATTCCACTCCCCCCCTCCCAAAAAAAACCTGATCATAAACTTTTCTGGTATATTAGAATAACTAAGAACTGTGAAAGGTAGTTTTAGGGCCAGGAGGTCAGAAAGGATGCTGGCTTATCTTAAGCAGAGGTCAAAAACCCAGAATAAAATTTGATTACTCAACACAAGAACAGACTACTGATTTCACGTTAGTAGATTTTAAGTCCTGCTTCAGGTTTTATAATTTTCTCGCATTGCTGATTATAGTGGCTCTGAACTACTGCTTTCTTTTTATAACTGTTTATTTAATAGAGTTTCCCTGGTTGTCACTGAAACGGTAGATTCTGGTTTATTTGGAGAAGGAATTGTGGAAAGCTTGATCCACGCTTGGGAGCATTTGCTTTTACCGCCAAAGGCAAGTATCTATGGGTGTCTTAAGGCCTGATACACTGTAAAAATGATTTTGCACTATGACTGCTACGGATAGCAATGAGATCAAGGCTCTGCAGCCTTGCAATAATGTTTTAACATTTTTCTTTTATTAGTTCCCATAAACAGTGAACTAGAAACGTGAAATGTAAACATTACTTACACAGGTCTTCCAGATCACATAAGAAAGTTTGCTTGCCAGCACTGCAGCTCCCTAGAGTCTAGTAGCATTGGCATGGAGACTTCCCATGCGATCCAGAAAGCGCACGTGGGAAAGAACGTTTAAGTGTCCTCCCAGTTAAGTGGACCCTTAAGGCTGGGAAAGTCTATTGCGGTAGACTGTACCATTCTTTTCAGTACGGAATGAGAGATTAGACAAGTGTGTGAGAGAATTTTTTTAAGAAGTAGTAACCTCAGGCCAACTCTATATATAGAACATGTTTAAAGTTTTGGGCTGGATTCAACTAACCCATTCTGCTAGTGAAAGCCACTGCAAAGACTCCCGCTAGTGCTGTGGGGCTTTCCCCTTCTTCTCCTGGCGCTGTCCACCCCCCACCTCTCCCATATCCACTATGGAGGGTCAGGAGAACTCCCAAAACAGTGCACAGGGAGAGGAGATGGGCAATGGTTCCATCAGGCAAGCAGAAATGCTTGCACTAACGAATCCGTCTCCTTAGCACTACATTGAATTCCATACATTGAATGTAATGCGAGGAAAATGCCATGATTTAAGAGTGTGCAGCTGTTGCAAAATAAAAATGAATTATAGCCACAATTTAATTTTTTTAATGTGTCTTGAAGTTCTAGATTAAAAACCAACGAGGGCATGTTTCTTATCCTTCCGTTCATAGTACTGGTTACTGTATTTTTTTAAAAATGAAAGATTTCCCCTTCTCATAGTGATTATTTCCTTACCTCAAAAAACTCATTAAGGGCCTTCCATTGTAGGAATTTATGAGATGATGTTACATATTACAACAGAAGACAAAATAGTTACGGTTGTGGAAGATTATTCTTCAATAAATTTAATAAATGGCTGAAATACTTTCTTTTTTAAAGAACTGATATAGATATTCTTTCTGATATCACTAGTGCTGAAAGTTATCTAACATGCTTTTCAAATAGCCATATGTGTTACACCATAATATCTTTATTTTTAATTCAAGTCGAAATGTGTTCTAGATTGAGGGTTGGCTTGGCAACAATCTCTCATTTTGCACAGTGAATAAAGCAGATTGAAAAACAATTAAGACAGACCTTTTTTGCCACTCAGCTGAAATCCAAATATTTATACATAACTTGACCCAGCCAAACCCTAACTTAATCTGTGTACAGTGACTGAACAGTTTATATTAATTTTGTGTTTTAATTGTATGTTAATCTATTTTTAGCTTAATGTTAGTTTTAACAGTTTTAAGTGTTTTTAATGGTTTTTAACTTTTTTATTGTTAACCACTTACTGGTAGATATTGTACGATTAAGCGGTATATAAATTTAAAGGTACAGTAATGGAATAAGTTTTTGTGAATGGTAGTCTTCTTGTATAGTTTTGTAACTTTGTAACTTTATCTATTTATCAATCAGCCCAATGATGGCAGAGTTAATGCTGAAAACTATGGTAAAGTTATACCAGCAGGAGCTATCGTGTGGGGCATGGCAGTGGAATGCGGAGAGATACGCAGACATCATAGGTATGTTTGTGCTGCTGATATACATTGGGAAAGCATGTTTAAACTTGGACAGGGAAGAGGAAATGTCTCCCTTTTAAAGATAAGATTTTTATTTTGCTCATCCTGCTTGTTAGGTTGGATTCCACATAAGTGGAAGTAACAATAACTTTGAGTTTTCTGCACTGAAATTCAGAAAACTCGAATCAGCCTTTTGCCAAAACGAAGTTCATCCCACATGGAAGATGTCAACCCATCTTCAATTTGGTCATCAATTTCCACTTACATTCTGTTCTTATAGAATCCTCTCTTCATGTGCAAGAGTCCAACATAATTTTTAAGGAAGGGAGTAATTTATACCTTCAGGGTATAAATACTAGAATGTGGGAAGGCTGTTAGATTAATACAATTTATTCTATGCTGTTAGTTTAATTGACTGTGTTTTTAGATTGTATGTTATTAGCAAAACAACCATGCCCTTCTTATGGTTGAAAAGAAAGGGATATACATGTTAAAATAGAACACAATCGTTATGTATGTCTTTAAGCTCAGCAAATCTTTTTTGTGAGCCTCTCCTTAATGTGCCAAGAACCAATGCTGAGTTCAACACATCCAAAGTGTTGGTGCTGACCTTTAAAGCCCTAAACGACCTCAGTCCTTCATACCTGAAGGAGCATCTCCACCCACATAGTTCAACCTGGACACTGAGATCCAGCACCTTCTGGCGGTTCCCTCATTGCGAGAAGTGAGGTTACAGGGAACCAGGCAGAGGGCCTTCTCGGTAGTGGTACCCGCCCTGTGGAACGCCCTCCCACCAGATGTCAAGGAAATAAGCAGCTATCCTATTTTTAAAAGACATCTGAAGGCAGCCCTGTTTAGGGAAGTTTTTAATATTTAATGCCGTATTGTTTTTAACACTCGATTGGGAGCTACCCAGAGTGGCTGGGGAAATTCAACCGGATGGGCGGGGTATAAATAAATTATTATTATTATTATTCATGAATTGCATGATTTTGTCTTGTCAAACCTAATTTCTGTCTGTTCCTTTGTTTTCTCAGGGTGGGTGCAAAAGAAATTGCTGGTGTGTGCTTGCCAGAAACATTGGAGTTCCACAGTCCAGTGTACGCTTCTGTAAACTCAGATGAAAGTCTTGAACCTTACACCACTGAAAAACTCAGCAGAGTTCCTGGTGGCTATACGGCCCTCACAGAACACTTCCAGATTTTGACAGCCAACTTTAACAACTTGCAGGTAACTTTTGGAAAGCCTGGTGAATGAAACATTATCAATTGCAAAAGGATTAATGCAGAGGTAAAAGAGAGGTTCATCTGGATTTTATTCTGTATGGTGAGATGGAGGTGCACAGAAGATAAAAATATGACTGAGGGTATTCTACAACCCCAGAGTGGGATTAAGAAAGGACAGAAAGATGAGACCTGAGATGGGGAGCCTGTGGCCCTTAAGAATGTAGTTGAACTTTCATCAGCCCCATCTAGCAGAGCCATTGGTCATGGATGTTCAGAGTTGTAGTATATCGACATCTGAAAGGCAATAGGTTTCCCATCAGTGGATTAGGAAGACAGCTTTGCCATACAGTTCTATAAACTATTTCTTTTAGGAGCAGTCAGTATTGGATATTGCAGGCAGCTATAGTCATTCTAGATAGGCTCTGAGCTAGTACCAGTTAAGCCTGAGAGGGTAATGTGTTTCGTTGGTCATGCAAGCATACCTCTTTGATTTTTGACCCATGGGAAAATGTTTGCTAGCAAGATCTTAAAATACACCCCCTTGTATACAGACAATTATTGCCATGCTCTGAATCAATAAGTCTGTTTTCACCTTCACTTTATCTGGCATCTGAGATTAATAGGCAGAGTACAGCAAAGCACTTAGCTGTATTTTAATAGAAACTATAATGCAGTGATCTGTGGTATGTTCCATCAAGATTTAAATACTTAATATTATATGTTTAATTTTTTAATACTTCTGGGCAAAACTGTTGTATGCTGATCTTGAGCTGCCATTGAATCTTAAAATATCAGTGTATTGCAAAGGAGAAGCAGATAAAGAGTAAAAAGGCCATCTTGGGAAATGTAGAAAAGGGTGGGTACCAGGGAGGGCAGGAGGGCTCCATTGTTGAACAATGAAACTTTACTCTGGACTTCAGTGTTCTCTACTTGACATCTGCATATAAATTTGCTATTAATTGGTGGTGGTGAAAACCCCCCACCCTTTGAAAACAAAGAATTAAAATAAATAATCTCAAGAGTGGTTTATGTAAGAAAGGAAAGTTTTGGAGCATGACATTCTTTTTTATTTTGGTTTTCCTTACTCCTTGCAACCCACTTATGACTAGTATTTGTCTGGGCTCAGCAGGCTATGAGTCTTCTGGAAAGAAAGGCATCCCCATTTAGTGAGATTTCCATATTGGGTACTAAAATATGTAATCATAATATATCTACTGCCAAATGTTAGGAAGACTGTACAATAATTATTACTTTTATATTTTTCTTTCATTTAAAAAAGACTTATTTTTAGCTACCATTTTCTTAAAACCATTTACATTCTGTATACAGTATTTTTAGATTTAAGATGAATTATAAGGCAGTTCGAATCCCCGCGATGGGGTGAGCTCCCGTTGTTCAGTCCCAGCTCCTGCCAACCTAGCAGTTCGAAAGCATGTCAAAGTGCAAGTAAATAAATAGGTACTGCTCCGGCAGGAAGGTAAACGGTATTTCCGTGTGCTGCTCTGGTTCGCCAGAAGCAGCTTAGTCATGCTGGCCACATGACCCGGAAGCTGTCTGGGGACAAACGCCGGTTCCCTCGGCCAATAAAGCAAGATGAAAGCCGCAACTCCAGAGTCGTCCACGACTGGACTTAACAGTCAGGGGTTCCTTTACCTTTACCTATAAGGCAGACAGGAAGAAGCCGCAACCCTAGAGTCATCTACGACTGGACTTAACCGTCAGGGGTTCCTTTACCTTTACCTATAAGGCAGACAGGAAGACAATTGGAGGTGCTCAGCCAGCAGTGGGGACTTGACTGAAGAGCAAGATGTGATGATGCCCGTCAATTTGGATGGCTTTAAAAAGGGATCAATCAAATTCATGGCCATCAATGGCTCATAATCATTATGGCTATATATTACATCCAATATTGGAGGCAGTGTGCTAGGAAACTTCAGTAGGAAAATGCTGTTATGCCCTTGACCTGCTTCAGAGATCTGGTTGGCCATTGGGGAACAGAATGCTGGATCAGATAAGTTTTTAGTGTTATTCATCAGGGATCTTATGTTCCTATTCAGAAGGGCTCTTCTAATGCTCTCCAACATATTTTGCTTCTTTTTTACCATTCTTGGTTAGGAGCTGAAAAGCTTTGCAACTCGTAAGCCATCCAAGATCAACATGCCTGTTATTAAAGCAGGAATACTAGATGCCATTGTGGTCTGGTTTACATTACAGCTTGATGATGAGCACACACTCTCTACAAGTCCAAGTGAGGACACCTGTTGGGAACAAGCAGTGTACCCCGTACAAGGCCTCCTTGGTATGTCTTCAGGGTTTTATTTTTACAATGACATTAAAATGCATTTTCTTTCTAGGATATGTGTCTGGCTTGTTTTGTATGTTTGAGATGACAGGTGGGATTTCTAATAAGCAAAGACAGTTACTTTTCTTCATCCTTTGCAGGTAGCATTCTTAGGAACTATTTATCATACTGAGAAAAGTGAAGGTCCTCAACACTGAAACACTTTATGGAAAAGTCATTTCAGTATATCTGGGGTGGGGAAACTGAATTCTGATGGAATCCTTACCTTCCCGCACAGGTCAACTTTGATGGGTGGGTGTCAGATGCCTGGTGTCAAGGGGCAATGTCAAAGGGGCTTGCTGTAACAGCCAATCAACTGCACCTTGAAGTTAATTTGCAGAGGGATTCAAACTGTGCCAGCAAATAGGCATCTTCCCTCTGCTTATGAGACAGTCTCTTGTGCAGCTGCTCTCAATGAGCCCCACATTAAACAAGTGGAAGCACACTTTAAATTGAATTACATGATTAATAAATCAGTCAAATTTACTTGAATGAAATCCTTAAACAGAAGTGCCAACTGAGACGATACCAGTCATGCATCATCAGGATTCCCAAACAAAAAAGGTTTAGCAGAATAAATTGAAAGCAAGGACTAGTAAAATTTGGCAGCAGGGAGTAGGAATTAGGAGTAAGTGGGGATGTAAATAGGGAGCTATAAAAGTGGCAAACCTCATTTATCCTAAGCAAGTTCCTATATTTTCACAGTTTAAAACAAATGCTTACTCAAAGTTAATCCCACTTAGTTCAGCAGCATTTCAGGGAGTACTTCCACTGACCTCAGTGGGAAACATGCTTAGGAACACATGGTTAATTTCCAGTTTAATTTCTAATATCTATATCTTCAACTATTTCAGCCTAAAGTCTCAGAATTTTGACAGACAATATGTTTGTATTTTAAAGTTTATCTCTGCATTCATTAGGGCAAGTGTGTGCTAATCATTACTCTGGACACAGGATAAAGAAAATTGTGAAGTTTTACAGGATCAACTTGGCTAAGCAGTTAATCCATGTTCCTGTTGATACCCACTTTCCCCACCACCACCTCCTTTCTAACATTTTCTCATATTTCCTTTCTATCATGCATCACTGACAGATAGTTCGGGTCATTTTTAAATAGAAACTTTGTTTTTACAGCCGCTAACATTGATAAATTTGTGAAAGCTATAGTCAGTTGTGCTCTGCATTAAGACAACCAGTGGGCCTCTTTTGCCTCCACTCTAATAAAATCTGCTTGGCACGTGTTGCAGCAGCAGAGGCTGATCAAAGGAGCTGTTAAAGTAGTGCACGTTTTAGGAAGACTAGAACAGTAGTGAAGGCACAGTGAATAATGTATTTCATTCTTCATCCTTGTGTGATTTGAAGATTACTCTCTGAGATCTGGGGACTCGGTTACAATGGAAATATCATGCCAGGACTGCTATCTAAGGATCCAGAAGATTTCTCTTGTGACCTCAGAATATGGAATGGATGTGGAAAGAAATTTCAAGGAGAAGAATAGTGAGGCTGAGCTCTGCAGTGCTCTGGCCAGCCTTCAAACAACAAATGCACTGGGACAAGAATGCATGCTGGAATCTACTGAGATTGCTTTACTGAACAATAGGAGATACCACGAATGTTTTAAAGCTGCAATAGGCAAAGTGCTGTCATCCTTAAGCCTCCGTGAGCACTCCATGGATGTGGACAGCCACAGTAATGAACTGAATCTTGAAAAGAACCAAAGCAAGAACTCAGTGACTCCTGATCCTTTGTATGTGTTGGACGTATCAGAGGGCTTTTCAATTTTGCCAGTAATTGCAGGCAAATTTGGGCCAGTTAAGGCCTACAGCTCTGTTGAAAAAGAACAGCACCAAGCAGCTCTCAGCCTGATTTCAGAAGCTAACAAATTTCCTAAGGAAACTTTAGAGTTTTGGCTCAACCACCTACAGGATGAAAACATGGTATTACAGAGACCAAAATCTGACAAGTTATGGAGTATTATAATTTTGGATGTCATAGAGACTTCTGGTCTAATTCAGCAGGATGTGATGGAAAAGGCTGCAATATCCAGGTACTGTATGACATGAAATTTTCCTGGACTATATTTTACTGTTATATTCATGCATAAAACCTTAGCCAACGTAATATAATTTGGAATGATACTTAGCCAAAAGACTCTTGGAAAACAGTTTGTTCTACATTGAATCCATATGTGGTCAGAACTTTTCAAATTAATGAGGCTGTTGAAGCTTTATGGGTCATAGCAATGTAGTTTCGTGTAAGACTGAGAATAAACCTATTTAAAATTAGGCATATAAAATTAAAAGAAGATGGAGTTGGCTCTTACTGTTTGGTCATGCTTCTTTGCAAAAAAACAAGCATAAACACACCAAAGTATTTTAAACAGAATGCTTCTGATTGATGGTCTAAATCTTGATTTGTTGCAGGAAGCCTGAGGACAGTGTGGAGGGAATAGTTGTAAATAGTGCTTTTTTCCCCGGGGGTGTGTGTGTGTGTGTGTGTGTGCAGGAATATGCATACCCCTAAACATTTTGTGAATCTAAGTTTGGCCTCATTGAGGGGCAGTATTTCAATATGAGTAGGAAAGTGAGAGTACCCATAAACATTTTTTTTAATTTTATTTTTAAAGCACTGGTTGTGAATGTTAATACTTTATATTTTTTGTATAGATGTTTGCTTCACTCCGGAGGGAAGATATTCCCACAGCATGTGAAGATGTATGGAATGCTTGTGGAATCTAGGTCATTGCTACTTGAGACCACAGTTCAAGGGACAGATCCCACCCTCGGTTTCAACATTGCGCCTTTTATCAACCAGTTTAAGGTATGAAATGTGTTACATTCATCTATATCCAGTTTAGCATGCTGTCTCAAAAGATTAGGGTGCCAGAAAAAAGCTTCAATGTTTTATTAAGGCCACAATCCAGAGAACAGCAGCTCAACCCTGTTTGCCCAGGGGAAGGCCTTTCCCTTTTCTTAAAAAAATTAAAATGGAGGTTTGCAGTGTGACATGGTGAACTGCTGATCAAAGAAAAACATCCGTTTCACTGGATATGCAGCTGTCAAATATTTATCAAAGCCTAATTCATTTCTTCATGTAATGCTTTGCAAGTAGTTTTCACTATTTTACAGTAACAATAAGGACATCTGATTTAAGACTTGGAAGAACCAGCATTTATTGAAAGCAGGGGAACTGTTAATTCCAATAGTTTGGTGCAGAGCAAAACTGATGACCAGCATTTGCAAGGAATATGTTAAGAAAGTAGGGCTATTTGAGCTATCCTGATGCTGTGGAACAGACATCCTTTTGCCTAAAGTGGGACAAGACCTAGAAATATATGCCCTGGCAACAGAACTGGTCACTTGCCAAAGACATACCACAGCTTTTTGAAAAGGCATTACAATGATACAATACTCAAAACATGGTATATTCCATTTCAGGTGCCTGTCCGTGTTTTTTTGGATATGTCCACACTTCCACACACACCTTTGAGCAAATCAGTGGAACTTCTGCGAGTGGATCTCATGAATCCGTACTTGAATTGCTCTAGTAGAGAAGTTAAGGTAAATATAGGAGATGGTAGATAATGCATTCTTTAGTTTATTACTCTGTCATTCTTTAGTGTCAATCTTGCATTTATGGAATTGCACAAGTAACTGAGATGTTCTGTGCTTGATACTTTTGATATTAGTACTTCCCTAAAACATTACCCCCTTTTAAAGCAGAAAATCACATTAGAGGAAGAAATCATACCATTTCTATTCTTGTTCATTTGGTTCTGGTTTGTGTGGAGTTTACTGCCTGCAGTTAGAATTAAGTCTTATTGCATTCTAGCTGGGATACCAATTACCAAATGAACATGGGCCATTCATCTTCTCAAGAGAAATTATGGTGGGCAGTGTATCTGAAACCTAGAGATACACTGGGATTGTACTATGCAGAGAGCTAACATTTTGCCCTCCACCTTCCATCACTCCTAGACAATATGGGCACTAGTCAGGGATGGGAGTAGTCATTTAAAACATATTGGAAGCACCAGAGCGGCTAACCCTATCTTCCCTAGCCCTCTCGTAAAACTGATACACAAAATCACTGAAGATAAACTCTTGGGTGTCCGAAAAAGCATGATGCAAATTGGCAATAGAGAAATCTTCCTCAAGCAAGCTTGAATTTAAAGAATACAAATTTTTGTTGTTGTTGTATTGTGGGAAGAAAGTTGATTGCTATATAGTAACATAAAATCTTACTTTTGTAGGTTGAAGTTTGTAAAGCAGGTCACGTGACTGGTATTCCATTTTGGTATCACGTGTACCTCGATGAAGACACTGTTTTAGATACATCAAGCAAGTCATCCCACTGGAAACAAGCTGCTATTGTGTTAGATAAGCCCATTCAAGTTCAAGCAGGAGATGAACTTGTGCTCAATGTTCAGTATCACAACAGTAACGTTAGCATTACAGTAAAACAGTGAACTGCCATCAGCTACAGTGTTTTTACTGTTTTAAAAAGCCTACAGTAGCTTAGTTATTTATACTTAAGTTAATCATGTCTTAGGGTCACACTTTTGAGTCTGTTTGAAGGTCTAAATATCGACTGAACTATTGTGAAATTCAGCACAACTGTTTAGCAATAAAGCCATGGACCATAAAGAGTGGAGAAAGCATGCATTTCTGCCTAGAAGTCTGTGTAAGATGTCTACAATGCTGAATAACTTAATATTTGTATTCTTACTTGCCTTTTGGAGAACTATATGAATTTGAGTATAAAAAGTAAAAAGAAATGGAATGCCACAACATGCCTGTTCACATCTCACTTTGAAGGTTAATAGAGTAAAAATGAATTTGCTGAGGAGTACCAGTATTGTACAGATAGACTACTCATACACTTCCATAGAAAAACAGATTTTTCAGTTACAGAAACAAGTAGTGTCTTGAGAGGTGGTAGTGGTGAGAACCTTTTTGTTATAAATGCCTAAACATGAATTGCAACATGCTAAACATTTTTTTGTGAAAACTAGCAGATAACAGATCCAGTAACACTAGTTTCAGGAAGGATGAAAAATCCTTAATGGGTAAGAAAAATATTTTAGGTATGGTTTGGCTGTATCTAATTGTGATCTAGAAGACAAACAGCTTCTTTTAAATCATGGGATGTAGTTCTGTCTCTGCATGTAAAATACCATAGTCACACAGATGTTACTACTGTCTACCGAAGTATCTTGGCCAGCATGAACTTCCTTTCCCCTGTGCTGGGAGCACTGAAGTAGCATCACTTGCAGTGACTGCAGTATGAAAGCAGTGTCCATCTAACAAGCAGCTGGCTAACCAATAGCGGTCACACAAAGCAGAAAGACGAGTAATGAATATAAAGAAGGAACAGCCCTGGAAAGACTGAAATGAGATAGGGAGAAAAGGACAAGAGGAAAACAAAGAAGACATGGAGAAAAATTAACAACGCCCCAGAGTGGAAGTTACCAGACCAAAAAAGGGCAGTGGGGAAAGAAAAGGCACACAGAATAACCCTAGCCTGCAGCTCCAAACTGCTGGAGCTGCAGTAGCTAGTCAACCAGAAACAAGGCACCATAAACAAACGTTAGGAAGAGGCAAGAAGCATGAATCAGTTTAGTTTTAATGTTCCCGGCCCCACTCCTGGGACAGCCATTAATGCATAGTTGGTTAAGTTACTATTAATAAACTTGGAGGGAAGATACCACCTCCTCGAAGGAGCCAAAAATGGCTCACCACAGATTACCCCACCATCCTTTTGCTGAAGCCCATGTTCACTGTTAAGAAGATGCCTAAATCAAGCTTACAGGTAGTATTCCCAAATGGCAACAAACCACAGGATGAAAAGCAAGACTGGGAAGCACCAGAAAATTCTAATTGCTAAAAGACAATGTACCTCTATAGCCTAGTCTTTGCCCTTTCTTCCTAAAGTAAATCCACCTGTGGTTAAGGAAGGCATTGTTTACACTCAAGAGAATATTTGCTCCTTTGAAATTAGACATAGGAACTAAACTATTGGTGAGCATTATCTTTTGGTCTTCCCTTGATTTGTGTGATCTAGGCATGGCGGGGGGGGGGTTGAGATGCCTCTCCCATCAGAGTCAATAGTTAACCATTAAAAAAAATACTATGGAAAGGAGCTCAAGAGTATTATTCGTTCATCTCAACAGTGAAGGAGTGCAAAGTAAGAGTTAATAAAATTTTATTTGATTATGTACAATAAAGGCAATGATTTGCCCTTTAACCACTTTAAGGACACACCAAATTTATCCATAAAATATGCAGCCTAGTGAATAAGGCCAAGTATTTACATAACACACTAGTACTGCAAAAGCACTTGTAGGATGAGTTCACCGTAGCAGCCACAAAACAGTTAAAAACTCAATTCCTGTAAAGGGCACCTGAATGCTAAAAATAGCTTGAGTTCTCTCTGAAGATGCCACTTAATGTAAACCTTGCTGCAGCATTTTATATGAAGGTAAGACAGCAAGCATGCAATGCAGATACAAATGTGAGAATGGGTAACAAGTCCCTTTTGTTGACCAGATGTGCAAGTCCTTAAAACAGTAAGTTGTTACATTCTGTATTAGTATTTCAAAGCTTACTTGATTCTAGATACATTTTTGGAAGGCAAATATACTATAAATTCAAGAATAGTAGGCATTAAAATGGTATCCGCGTGATAAGAGGAGCACAGATCAATTGACGAACCATTGGTAATCCTATGAGTTTTGAGACAAAAATACAGGAACACTGATCAGTTTTTCAATAAAAAGCCTTGTTTCATTTTAACTCCCTAATTAGAATGCCTTTAGACTCCGAGTTGTATTCAGTTTAGCATCAAGTAGTTCTATTAGCACAAGAACTACCACAAACAACAGGAATTCCCCACCTCACCCCGTGCATCCCCTAAATCTGTTTCTTCAATCCTCTGTGACACATCTGGGGAGGGTGTAGAGAGGAGTTCTGTTGCTCTAGTGGTAATCTCTGTGCTAACAGGAAGCAGTAGTAAATTACTACCCTCCGAGCAACTTCCAGTATGTGAAAGGCCAAGATACACTTAATACATTAACAACAAAATTTAGAGCCAATGCAGCATATAATGCTCAAATCCAGGAACTTCTGGTTAACTGGACTGTGAGACATATATGCCAGTATTGTTAAAAGAATGATTTCATTTACTGCTCCAGCTAAGGTCTCCAGCAGCTCAGCAGCAATTCTGGCATGCTGATGAAACGGTATTCTGGGATGGTGCAATTACTTTGAGAGGAGAGTCAACATCACGAACTATCTACCTCACTCCAATTACAGAGGCAGGTTTTTGAACCAAGCAGCATTGGCTACTCAACCTACTGTAATAATTTAATTATATGTCTGGCACCAATAGGCTCTTTCAGTGATAGTTCATAAATTCCTCATTTAAAATTAAATTCCATTATCTGTTTTGTTTTATGTGCTGCTTGGTGCAGCTGCCATTCTTCTGGGAAGAATGAGGTCCCCAAGGCCAAAAAAACAAACATAGGAGCATCATCCAGGCAAATCCCAAAACATTTGAGAAAAGAGTTGTCTAACTTTCATCCAGAGGCTTCTCTGTTGGAGGATTCTCACTCTCTTCTGCTGATTTACACAAGACATCAGATATTGGTTCAGGAGGCATTGTTGGAGTCAACGTATGCCCAAACCCTTGATAGTGTCCCACAGGTGATGATGGTATTGAAGAAGCAGTAGAAATTGGATCCTGGGTGGATGATGACAGCAAACTTGTATGTTCATTCTGTTCATAATCTTCACCAAAAAACATTTTCCTTGGCTGACCAAAAACTGTTCTTCCTAAAAGGAAGGTATTTAAAAACAAATTATTCTCATGGGTCTGGCACTGCAGTTAATAGAAAAATGACCTAGCAATACAGCTCATGTGGCATCTTCAGAAAACTCAAATGTTTACATCAGTTTTTCCCTAGGGCTGCATTTTTATCCTTTTCACTTACCAACATTGCGAACTTGTTCAGTTACATCTGCCCTGATATCAGAAATATCCCACATTGCAAGAAAAGAATCAAAGCATGATCCTTCTTCAGCTTGCTGCACATAAGGTTTGTAGGAAAAACTGTAGTGATGAGCAATTGCAGCAAAGAACATCTCCACGCAGATAATAAAATCCTGAAACAAAAGAATCCAAATTCAGTTCTATTCAGCCCCACATATGCAACCATATAATATATTCCTCGCAGCAGCTCCTTTAGACTTACTTGAAGGCCAATTAACCACAAACTACCTTTTATGGAATAATAGTATTCCAGAAACTTCCTGTGTTTTACACCAGCTTAAACATATAGTGGGACCATCAGCCAAGTCTATTCTCGTACTTTGGTTAAATTAGGAAAGCAAGCCCCAGGCAACCAACTAAATATTTAATTTAGAGTAAATACTGCCTTCTCGCACCTAGTAGAGAAGACAAATAGCAAAACATGATACTGAAAGGACTGCGCTCATGCAGGCCAATGCAGATAGCATAGCTATTACGAGTGTACTAGTCACACCGTTAGAAAACTAGTTTTAAGCGCTTAAATTTACCTGCATATTTACAGATATGAGTTGTAGGACAGTTTGATCAATGGAGCTGGTAGGCTAGTTACCTGATAACTATTGCTCACTCTCAGTGAAAAAAGTAGCTACATGTATCCATAATGCTTTTGCTTCAAAGACCAATCTGCCCCTTTTATCTATTCCAAAGGATGTGGGGCGCTGGAAGGCTTATGTTTACAACAGCAGTTCCAACTTACCTGTAGACCAGTTGCCACTGCTTCAACACTTTTCCATTCCCATGTGTGTGTTTCAGAGATAACACCGACTTTCACCAACAATGCAATAAGTGCTGCTTGCCTATACAAAATTGACATTCTTAGAAGAGATTGGGTTATCACCACACAGAAGCTACACAGCTGAGAGGCAGGTTTTGGTCTAAAGTCCTAGTGAGCTTTTATTGTAAGGTTAGAAAAAACACAAACAATCTGTGAAAGATACTAAGATCACAAAGCAGATCAATAAAATGCTAGAAATATGAACTTGCAAGCCCTGTGGCCATTATGCTCACACAGGAACAGTGAATGTGCATCACCCACAAAAAAGGAACTTCCACGCAAACTAGTGCTAGGCTAAGAGGTGTCTCTGGAAAGAGATCAAAGATGATCTGTCAGTATGGAAAAAGGTTTCAGCATAAACTGGAAATCTGTGCTACAACTTTAAAATGAATTAGATAAAAGAGAGCTAAAACTTTGGTTGTACCCTTAGCTATTTTGAAGTTGCATGAAAATGTTTTTAAACACAAAACTTTTTTAAAAAAAACACCACGGCAATTTTAAACACAGAAGAAGGCTGGTCTTTTCACACTTGTACAACACCTTGCATAGGTGAATCCAGTTTGCTATAGAGAGTCAATATGGTGCAGTGTTTAGAGTGTCAAACTAGGATCCAGAAACCCAGGGTTCAAATCTCTGCTCACTGAGTGACCTTGGGCCAGTTAGTGTCTCACAGCCTAGCCTACCTCACAGGGTAGTTGGAAGGATAAAATTGGGAGGGGGAGAACCACGCACATCATATTGAGCTCCCTGGGAATGATAAAGGTGACTATAAATGCACACACTTATTTGGAAGTAAGCCCCAAAGAGATTTACTTCCAAGTAAACATGAACAGGATTGTGCTGGTAAGCAATTTAAATAAAAATAGAAACAAGACTTATTATACTACTATTTGTTTTCTGACAAACACTTAAGTATCCATATGCATTTAGACATGTGCATAACAGGTTTTACACAAAAAAGCTTACAACACTCCACTTACCAAAAAGAAACAAAAACCACCATCTTTACACACAGAAATTTCCCTACGGGTTTGATTGGGTTTAGTTCTTCCCGCAGTACTTTATAGAACAACACAAGGCAGTACATGGCAAACTAAAACAGAGGGATAGAAATGTTTAGCAATTTGCAGTGGGAACACACAGAACTCCTACATTTCATCATACCAATAATCCCCTGCAACATATCAAGCCAATTCAATTCTTGTTCCAAACGTTTAAAAACATCTATGGGCTAGGCGGTCAAAGCTGAGTGCCAAAGCACATGCATAGCATGCGTAAGATCACAGGTATAATCACTGACTTCTCCATCTAGACCTGGGAAGGACACCTGTCTGAAACCCCAGAATGCTGCTGCCATAAGCTTCCTTTATTCCCAAGTATATTTCTCTGTTTCTTTCTGCAAAGAGAAGGCAGCCACCACTTTGCTGAAGCTAAGCACATCTTAGTCTGATCAGTGCCTGGATGGGTAACCACTAGGGAACCACATGTATATCACTGTGGGTTTCATGATGGAAAATAGATGGGATATAAATATAAAGCAGTATCACCCCACCTTTCAGAGTCCTCAGGGCAGCCTCTAAAACCGATTAAATAGATGTACAATAACACAATAAAATCCATAGCACCATATTTAGAACCAAAGTTAAGGATTAGTTCTCATATAATCTTAATTTTCTATGTGTAATGTATGTAAAAATAAAAGCACCTAATAAAAAATATGTTCTGCATACCACAATTGTTAAGATCTTTAATTTTAAAAAAATAAAACACTTAAATATCACTCCAAAGAGAAAGAAAACTCAAATTCTGTTACTCACAAGCTGGGAGATATTGTTGAAAAAAACCAAATAGGTCCAAGCATTTTTGAAGCTAAAGTTTCCTTCATCGTATACACCAACCAGTTCACATATTCTGAAAGAGTTTAATACAAAACATTGCTCAGAAAATTCAGGAGCTATGGTTGCAATCCTCCGCACAGGAGTCCTATTCTAGTCAATTGTCCAGTTCAAATGTCGTGTTAAACCATCATCTAAAACTAACTATGGGTTAATGTGAACAAGCAGTGCACTAGTGCATGCTGCTCTGAAGTTCCCACAGTTATCCTCCCGTTGCTGCTACAATGCAGATTAAAAAAGCCAGAGTCTGGCATGTTATCTGAACCCGGACAACAGTTTGTTTCTGCCAAACATACCATGAGCGGTAAGCCAAGAACAAACTTTGGTAGACCTTATGGATATGCAGCAGGAAGAGAAGTCATTTTTGTACAAGAGGGACACAACAATTGGATATCACTCAAAGAATTAAAACCTGATTAATATAAATTACTGTATTAGAGAAAAATTACTTTGGGGATGGTTATGCATAGTAAAGCATGGGAGGAAACACCATCTTTTAGATTACTTAAGCTCCACTTTAGAAAAAGTTTATAGTTGATTGTCTACATGAGCAATTGTCTTTAAGGTTAGAAGACAGAGACCGGTGTAACAGCACAGCTATCCAAACCAAAAAAAGAGTGAAAAGAAGAGCAAAGTAGTGATGTTAAATTCTTGATTAATATTCTTGATTAATTAGATATTAGAGAATTTTTGTTTAAAATATAATAATAATAATAATAATAATAATAATAATAATACTTTTTTATTTATACCCCACCCTCCCCGGCCGGAGCCGGGCTCATGGCAGCTAACACCAATAAAATCACAGTAAAAACATAATGGGGGAGGGACCAATTTAAAATACAGGTTAAAATGCAATTTAAAATGCAGGCTCATTTTAAAAGTAGCCTATAAATCAAGACCATAAGGGGAGGGAAACATAACAGTCAGACTGAATCCAAATCAAAGGCCAGGCGGAACAGCTCTGTCTTGCAGGCCCTGTGGAAAAATGTCAAGTCCCACAGGGTCCTAGTCTCTTGTGACAGAGCGTTCCACCAAGTTGGGGCCAGTACTGAAAAGGCCCTGGCCCTAGTTGAGATCAATCTAATCACCTTGCGACCTGGGATAATTAGTTAATATACATGTTTATTCATGGGTAAACTTGTTCAGATGGCAACCAAAAACTGTACAGATACTTTTATTCAATGGGGCAATGCAGTGAATTCACTTTCTTTGATTTTTTGCACCAAACTTGAAATTGAAAATTCAAGTAAATTCAGTAATAGGCTATCTTGTGCTTCTAATAGCTCTAACACTTAATAACTATATGCATGTGACTAAAACACAGCTTGATAAACAAAACTATATGCATACATATAAAAAAGAAGCCATTAACATTAAATATATTATCATGATACGATAATATATTTCCGTATGTCAATCTCTGGTAAATGGCACTGTGTACCACTGAATGGCACTGCAAACACCAGTTACTGGCACTAAATAAAAATATAGAAATGTCAACTGTTTAAATCAAGGTCACCTCACATGCTGTTACACATAATTATATAGGCCTAGGTACTTTAAGTGTATAAAGCATTAAAGCTCCTTTCTGTAAAAAAAAAAATAAAAAAAAAATCACACTGTATGGCCAAGTGTATAAAATTGCTAAGAATAAGGTCACACCAAAATAGAAAAAAAGGTTATTACATATAGTTGAAATACATACAAATTCAAATGTTCATCAAATTAAATGAATAGCATTTTTAAAACTAAAAAAACTTAAAAATGTTTTCTGTAGCTCACATTTCAGAACTGCCAATGGTGAATGACACAATGCCCAGTAATATAACTGGATCAAAAAAACCATTATTCATTACTTACACTGGCAATATCACAGCTTGACTTATTATTTACTAGATTTTTTTAATGTGGGTTGTAAAACTGGTTCTTACATTAGAATTTACAGTTTGTGGAGAATATTCTCCGGAGAATTTTCTAGCAGAGAATATTCTCACCTCACCTCACTAGCAAAGTGATACATCTATATATAGCATTTTGAGGCTAAAATATTTCTTCATACTTACAAAGCAATAATAGTGGTGAACGGTCTGACCACTGTATACTGCAAAACACCAAGCTTGCACCTGAACAACAGCACCCTATAAAAGAGACACAGTCAGATCAGTTCATTCAAAGCTGCAACACAGACAACCATATATTCTACTTTTACTGTAAATATTAGCATCCAGAACTATCATTTCACACAACAAAGTTCCTGTACATCACAAATACTAACTCAGAATATAGCTGAAACTCTTTATGTAACATCTTCTGGAAAAAAACTTGCAGAGTTAAATACAACTGTTAGCAAGAATATCCTAACATTCACATACCATTGTGCTTTTCAGTCAAAACACTTTTAAAATGTTAAGTCATAGTTAATACTGCATCCTAGACATTTTCTTCTTGCAGCATCTTTATAGACTAAACTATAACTGACGGATTTAAGAATCACCATTTCATACGGGAATATTTCTAATACTTTATCTTACATTATTTCAATATATTTTCCCACTTCTACAGCTCTAACATGTGGAAAAACATGGGCACCTGTAGAGTTCTATCTTATCAGTATCCTATACAAATTGCAGAGATACTGTTTTGCAGCCAGATCCAGCAAGGTAACAGGATGGCTACATCCCTGCCCAACTAATAATTATTACTTTTAAGTTCTAACCATCACATAGATATTCAATGAGCTGTATGCTGCTATTTATCAAAATATGTTGATAGTATCTCACCTTTCAAAGACACCGCTGCATAATACACATTAACTTTTGGCATTTATAGTTTCAAATAAACTTGTTACAATTCTTGAATTTCAACTGCACACCTTTTATTGGAAGGGTTAAAACTAGAATAGAAACTTTGGCAAAACCTTCATCTTAATTGTAGTCAAGACATTCTGTCTTATTTCTTCATATCCTGTTGTGTCCTTTCAATCAAAGAGTCCAGACGTTAATCATCATTGGAAGGCTACCTTGCTGGGAGAGAGACTGCACCAACCAGGAAACTTGGGTCATTTTGTTCCTTCCCAAGGCAGGCTGCCATATGATGGCACTACAAAGGTGAATTCTCCATCCTGCTGCATTCTGGAATAGAGAAAGCAGCAGCCCCCACAGAAAGCTACTACAAGTCAGGGGGAGAAGCTAAGTGAGCGTCAATCCCTGAAATCTAACTGCTGTACAGTACTACCCTACAGCATTCACTCATTCTTTTAGAGCAGTCAATGAAGCTACCAACTGCTTCTGGGAAAAACAAATCCTTTTGATTCACAAACAAGTCCTATTTTCAGGAAACAATTTCCCGAAGTATTTTTTAAAAATGTGTTTTTCAAGAACTCTTTGGAGCATCAATGGAAACTAGTGCCACATATAGCAAAAAAAGTGTGTTAAATCTTAAACGAATCCAAGAGGTAATATGCATAATGACAGGAACATAAGCTTTGAAAAAAGAACGGTATGATGTACTCACTCTCCCATAGCCCATGGTGGACAGCAACACAATGGTGGTAGATGCCTTTGCTGATCTTTGGCTTCTAGGATTAACACTAGATTTGGATACCGATTGGTCAGGTAATTTGAAAGGAAGACCATGAAGTTATAGATGACATACGCTTCATAGCATTCTCTACAAGTATCCACATATATTGCAATACTGGGATATTTCAATGCTATCCACTATCAAAGAAGAAGACATTAGATTAGACACACACGCACTGCAGTTTACACTGAGATTCCATTCTATTACATTTTCTTTCGAAATATTATTGTTTGCCAGCATAAAAATTAAATAAATAATTTACAGAACTCTGTGCTGCAGTTAAACATTTAATAATTAAGAAAGGCTTATAGCTCAAAGGCTTATAGCTCATTAAACCTATGGTTTAACTAAATTAAGTCCAATTGAAATAAATGGGATGTACTTCCCAAGATATCCTTTAGAGCCTGTATTTGCTGTTGCAAACAAGGCAAGCAGTGTTACAATACAAAGTAAACAATGAGCTAGTACTCTGCAAAACAGAGAAGCAACATTCTCTGTATATAGGCCTTATGGTTCACATTAGATACAAATATGTACATGTCTACTTTCAGTTGCATTAAGTCTTATTTTCCAGTGAATTAATGCTCAGTGAGTTGTACAGTGGTACCTCTGGTTGCGAACGGGATCCATTCCGTAGGCCCGTTTGCAACGTGAAAAGCCCGCAACCTGAAGCGCCATATCTGCACAGGTGCGTGGCGCGATTTGGAGCTTGTGCGCATGCACGAAGCGCGATTTGGCGCTACTGCACATGCAAGCGCAACGAAATCCGGAAGTAACCCTTTCTGGTACTTCCGGGTCGTCGCAGGATGCAACCTGAAAAAACGTAACATGAAGCAAATGTAACATGAGGTATGACTGTACTTGACTTAACCATTCTCAGAGTAGACCCACTGAAATCAACATGCTTCAAACCATCAACACAGAGTATGACTTAGTGGATGAAACTCCAGAAAAGCAACATATTAACAAATGCCTCAATCACACACACCTGGGCTTCTGCCAGGAAACCTTAATGGAAATGAGGTTACAATTTTACAAAAAGGTTGTATGAGAAGTGCATTAGATTATTCAACTGGTTTCTAGAGCAAGAATTCAATAATCAGAAAAAATACTTACGCTGTCTAGGCTGTAAATTGGCACCATCCATAGAATCCTGTCATAAGAAAACACATTTGCAATTAACCAAGTGTTTGTATTGCTAATATGGAATAACCAGCAGAAGCATATATGATAGGTTACCTTATTATTGGTTTCTGTAATTCAGGTTGAGTATAATGAACTAAATGCTGCAATATTCCCCAAAGAGATATTGGTATGGTCATCAATAAAAATATCCCAGCAATAAACCATGCCTTGGTATGGATTCCAACCTTGAACAACACGAAAAATAAGAGCACAAGCACAAGAAATTACAGTAGGAAATTTGAGAAACAATGACAGTAAAACCGATAAAGCAGTCCATAAATCACTTTCTCTGAAGCAGCAGTACTATATTTAATGGCTCTTCTCTTCCAAGAACAGAACATGCGTTAATAATTAAGACATATAGTATTTTTGCAACTGAACCATCATTAGACTCAAAATTTAAAGTGTGGTTAGCTACAACAGCTGCTACAACTTCTTTTAGATCCAAATATCTAACACACACAGTTCTAACCAAGAATCAAGTTAGGAACACTTAGAAGAGCAACTTGCAGCATTCCCTCACTTCTATACTAAGATTTAAGTTAGTAATACACATACTGCTAAACGCCAAGAACCAGGTCCAGATCTTCCATAACACACTTCTTGGTAGTTAAACTTGAAGGGAAAATACATGTATACCATCTTGTTTGCAATGGGCAGCTCTAATATGCAACATTAGAGTGCATATTTTAGTGTGTGTTTTATGTATGCATCTTCTTAAACCTTACTGTAAACATTTAACTGTGAGGAGACATTTTTCCTTGTGTCATGTAAAGCAGCTACAAGGACAGGGTACATAAAGAAACTTAGAGCCTGTTTCTTCTTTATAAACTACCTTTCTGTCTAAGCAACAGATGATTGGGAATAGATAGCATCACCAGAAACCTTTATAATTACAGATCCAGCCTGTGAGCAACCTAGTTATTTTAAGGCACAGAAATATCTGCAATAGTTCACTAAACGATTAATTAAACACTGCAAATTCCAAGCCTCACATAAGAGTAACAGGGATTCCCTGGTAGCTGCCTACTTTAAATATGGAAATGCTAAAGGGGAAGGCGGGAGCACAGAGATTCAAAGAATGTCTTGTGGAATAGGTACAGGGAAGGGGTACTAGCACAGGTGTGTTTTACTTAAGTGCTGGTCCACATGGACTAGCAAAGGTGAAGACAGGAATTACCATAACTCACATGTAGATTGAAGGTGTTGAGAGTCATTATTCTGTATTCTTTCATTTGCAGAAGACATCACTTTGCATCCATCACTTAGTGCCACAAGTTAGACAATGTGGTGCCCTCCAGATTTCCAGACTACAACTCCCATCAGTCCCAGCCAGCTTGACCAATGGCAAAGGATGATGAGAGATGTAGTCCAAAACATCTGGAGAGCACTACATTGTCTAGCTCAGAGTAAGACCCACACCAACCAAATGATGTCCATTAACAGGCAAATGCACCATTTACCTGCCTGTCTCTTTGGATTAAACTCTTCCCTGTCATAATGATCTTACGTCAAGTAAGTCCCTCTTGTGAGAGATTCCGGAAATGGAAGACAGGAGTATACACACCCCTGGCTTCTGGATTTGCTTTAAGTTACTCCTTCTAACTACCTCCCCCCCCCAACTTGTCCATGCACTATGGAACAAATTGTTCTTTAAGCGTGGGAGCTACTGTTTGGTTGCTGGTTTTGAATCCTGTTTTTGAAAGATGAATCCTGTTCAGCTGTTTGTGTGTTTTCATAAACTCCTTTAGCCTCGTATGAACTGCTCTGAGTGGGATGGTAATGAACTAAAAACATGAATATAGCATCTTTCTATGTGGCACCGCCTACCCCCATGAAAACCTGAATTTGTTGTAATCTTTAGTACATCATACAGACGAGAGAAATCCCCTTCACCTGCTGACACTCTAGTCCTCTCCACTTGCTGTCTCACTATAGGGTGCTGGCCTTCGCAACAGCTCCAGATGAGGAGTATTTATGTAGATATCTGCATTTCTGGACTTCCTCTTACTTGCTCCCTATGTAGCAAACATCACATTTAGGTTACCTGGGGTCAAGCAAGCTAACCATTCTTACTTGAGCTCCGCAACCCAAGATGAACCTAGGATACATATGCCCTTCCAGAAGCAAGTTGGGCTGCAGAGTTTTGAGAGGATGTGTCAATCCTCTTTCTTTTTTCTTTCTCATTTTAATCACTGTTGTTATTTATTTCCACGGTGCAGAAGATAACTTTTGAGAAAACAATTGTTAGAACGACCCTCTTTCTTGACCTCACCTCCGAACCAGGCAAAACTTGCTGGAGGTTCTCTTTTTCCTTTCTGAAAGGATGCTTGCCAAACATACCTAGAATAATGCCCACGGTGACACGTCTGGCTTTATCTTGGATGGGCAGCTGGGGCCTACAATGGCGGGTGATTCATCATCATCATCCCTCAGGGCCAGCAACCATCGGGATGGAGAGCAGGGGGGGCACGTGACACATTCACCTCAAGCCCCGTCCGTTGTTTCTTTTGCGTGTCCCTCCTAAGCCTAGAGCGCCAAGCGCATTCCCACATGACGCACGTTCCATGTTGTGCGCGGAAGAAGCGCGCTCCGGGAAGTGAACGCGGGGCGGCGTTAAGGCTGCCAGCAAAGCCGAGCGCGTGTGGGAGACCCGAGGGAGCGGGGTCTGCGTTTGCCCCTCTTCCCCCCACTCCCACCCCGGAGGCGCCCCTGGGCCGCCTCTCTCCGCCGCTCCGCCCTCACCTCCAGCTTCTGCAGCTCCCACACGCAGAGCGGCACGGCCAGCAGCAGCCCCACGACGTAGACCGTGGCCACCAGAGGCCGGATCCAGCGCCGCCAGTTCCCGCAGGTGCACGGCATGGTGGCGGCGGCGGCGGGGCTGCGGAAGGTGTCTCTCGGCGCCGCCTCAAGGACCCGACGGGCCCGCCCCACACCGCCGGCGCCGCGGAGCGGAGAGCATCGCTGCCGCCCTCACGGACCGACGCCCCTCCCTCCCTCCCTCCGCAGCCACCCCTGGCGGGCGAAGCCAAGAGAGGAGGGGGGAGCCAGGAGGACGGACGCCCGTCTGCAGCCGCCTCGCCGCCCACGCCCCGCCCCTCTTCCCCTATCCAAAGCCGCAGGCTGAGCGGAGCCACGCCCACCGCCGCAGCATAAGGCCAAGCGCTTCCGGCGCCTCAAAGTAAACAACCCGCCCCTTGCCGGAACCGACGCCGGATTGGGTAAACCGCGAGGTGGCAATCAAGCGCTTCTCTCTTCCCCTATACATCGACGCAAGTGCTTATCGACAGGGGAGGGTTAGGTTTGCGTGCTGGTCGGCGGCGGCGCGGCTTCTTGGCGTTCGCTTCCCAGCCGCGAGCCCCTTTGCCTTCTCTGTGTGCGAATGGCGCAAGCCTGCGCACTGCTGAGCGTTGGAGAAGAAGCTTTTAAATATGGGGTTTAGTTAAGCAGCGTTTGCACTAGGAAAGCAGTCACAAGAGAAGGGGTTTAAAAAAACACGTTGCTGAGCACGATAAAAAACACCACACGATTCTTAAGCCTCGGGCTCTATTTTTTACTTTCCCGCTACCTGAGAATGATAAACGCCAGAGTTGGAACAAGAAAAAGCCTTTTGTGTTTCGTTTCAGGCTTGCAAGCCGGAATTGTAACTCCTCATAAATGGGGAGCAGCCGTTGCTTCTTTACACGCCCCCCATTCTAGATGTGCAAGGCTGAAGTCCTGGCCCCACGTCCGTAGGGCTTAGCCCTAGTGAACCCCTTGGGAGTTGCCAGTGGGTAGGGGAGTGCACAAGGATCCCCCTGGTACCTGTGGCACATGGGGGGGTGTTATGTACTGAAGTTCTCAGGGGGGGGGTTTCCATAGATAGTTTTCACTCAGGTCCACATATGCAAATAAGGAATTGAAAGTGACGTTCAGTGATTGGATAGTTACAGAAAGTTGTTACTGTTGTGTTGTAGTGGAGCTCTATATAAGCAGGCTGGCTGAACCCTTCAGTTCAGTTCTGGCCTGGCCTGTGAATAAACAAGAGCTATCTGAAGAATCGCTGTGTCGTCTGATATGTTCACCCACAACTTAACGGGTGGGGGGGGGCTTCCTCAGTCCTGCAACCTCCACCTTGTTACTGCGTCTGCAAACTCAATGGATGGTTACAATATTAGCCCAGTTTTCGTACTTTTTTGTTTTTAGTTTTCCCTCGACCCCACCACCACCACTTGCTTTGTGTAACATTTTGCCTGAGGAAGAGTTCTGGAGGCCTCGAAAGCTCTACACACTTTTGTGACATGTTGGTTAGTGTGTTAGTCCTAATACTGTAAAGGTATTGCCTAGCTGGATGTTGGAGGGTTTCTTTCCTTATGGACCAAAGCCGCTTCTTTTGCTTTCTGTTAAATAATGTACATTGCACCCTGCCAAATTTTACTTTCTGTTCATATAACAATTTACCTTCAATTGGCATAGACCTATGTTTGGTAAGCTATTTTAATTCTTGCATACCTATATGAGAGAAATATATCATATTCATTAGACCTTGACTTTCTGCATTTCGTTGTTTCTTTCCTCCCACCCACTATTCTGCAGAGGCTTAATCTTGTCCCTTGGACATAGCAAAGGCTTCTTTCTCTAGCCAAAAGGGGTTCCCATACAACACTTTTATTTGCACTGAGTTTCATATATGCATTATTTATAAATAACAAGTATCAATCTTATACATAACATTTCTAATATATTGTTTATAAGTATCTCAAATCCAAAAGTATAAATACATCTGCCTTAAATCTCCTTCCCAAAAATACTTCACATAATGTATAAATATATAACAGATTAGTAATAGACAAAATGTTATAAGCATTTACAAGCGTTACAAGCATCAGGATTGCATCTGCAATCTCAGCATATACTTGGAAGAAAGTATTGTTGACTGCAATGTAAGAGGACACTCCTAGAAAATCTTGGATGTACATTCCATGGCAACCAGTATCACAGACCCTCCAAGTGTCCCTATTTTACAGGGACATCCCATTTTCCCAGTTTCTGATTTAATCCCGGAATGTCTCGCTTTCCCTTAGGATGTCCCTGTTTTCACTGGAGAAACGTTGAAGGGTATGGAGTTATCCAACTCCCGAGCCGTCTGAAGGCAATCCTGTATAGGAAAGCTTTTTATTGTTTAATGTTATATATATATATATATGTATTTAAATATGTTGGAAGCTGCCCAGAGTGGCAACCCAGTGTGTGGGGGGGGGGGTATAAATAGTGGAATTATCATTATGGAATGGGACATCCCTATTTTCATCAGAAAAGTTGGAGGGTATGCTATCGGTACTAGGTTTGTGAATACTCTTGTGCAAGACACACTGCATGGGCCCTCTTTTCTGGAGTCTTCCACCTCACTGCAACAAGTCTAGGGGGGCTTTTGGCAGTGGACACTGCTCTGCAACACCCCACTCAGAACCTCTATCCTGTTTGATGAGGAATTTTTGAAGAACATGCTCTGAGGATAGTTTTCCAAACCAGCTGGAAATCCACCAGTATTATCATCTAACCTTCATTTAATCAGTTCCATAGCCCAAATATTACAGAGAACTTCGTCAAATGTTTTGTGGAACTCAAGATAAATTTGTTCACGGTCCCACAATCCACTAAATTAGTAACCCAATAATAATAACAACTTGGAAAACTGATAAGATTAGTGTGGCATAATTTATTATTGACAAATCCATGCTGAGTTCTACCAATTACTACAATGTTATCAAGATGCTTACAAACAGACTCCTTTATCATCATTCTAGAATCTAGCATCAAAGTCAGTCTAGTTGCCCTCCCACTTTAGGTGCTGTTGAACAAATAAAAATATTATTATTATTATTTATTTATTTATTTATTTATTTGTACCCCGCCCATCTGGCTGGGCTTCCCCAGCCACTCTGGGCGGCTTCCAACAAAGATCAAAAATATATTAAAATGTCACACATTAAAAACTTCCCTGAACAGGGCTGCCTTCAGATGTCTTCTAAATGTCAGGTAGTTGTTTATGCAGAAGGCCAGAGACATATGGAGAAATGTGCATTCGAGTCCTGATAATAATTGTTGTAGACACAAATTTCCTTTTGTTCATTTCCGTAAAGCATAGATTGTGTACTACACTAATCCACTTCTAACATAAATTCATGAATTTTAAGCATCAGAATGTGATATTGAAAAATTAATATGTTGCATATGAGAGGCCATTTCCCCAAATGTCTTGAACTGCACTACATTTTTTTTAAAAAGCGTCTGCTTGCACTTAAGTGTTTGCAGGATCAAAACCTTTGCATTTGCTAATTTTAATGCTGCATAATATATATAAAATTCATATTCATATACAAAAGTTATGGCCTCATTGCTTATGCAGGAAGTACAAACACCTTATGAATAGTTGAAACTCAAAATAGACTCTGACAGTGGTTACATTTACATATTATGAAATTCTGTTTATACAGTCCCAGCAGCTGCCTACCCCAACAGCCAGCTGCCAATTTCTTTCCCAGCTGCCAGATTAGAGGCACCTCCATGTGTTGTCCCATCTCTCCATCCAATAGCTCTGATCATTCTGGCTCCAATTTCTGTGCAATTGTTTACCCAGATTCTTAAATCAGATGAAGCCTTTCTGATACCAGAGTTAAATGAATATGACACCATCCTTTTCCCTGCTTGCTTCATTCCTCTTGAGACTGATCTACCCAAACATGACTTAACGCTGGAGTCATAACAGCGATGTTTTTATTCCTGTTTGTAATGTATCCATAATCATGTACATTTGGGTTATATAACCGTGGAAGTACATGAATCACAGGGAAAGCAAAGGCTCTGGGCCAGACGGCAAATGGTTCTGGCCCCTCCCTCAACTCAGAGTTATTTAGAAGACAAAGCTAGAGTTGAGAGCTTTATGTGATGTGACCTAGAGGTAAAAAAAGAAAGAAAAAGGGTTGTAGGCTGGGAAAGGCAGAGAGAGAGGCATGGTGGCTTTCTGCTTGAATCCAAGGCTGCAGAAATGGGAGAAACAAGATCCTTTTGGGGTGTTATTGCTGTGAACCCCTCCATTGCAGGCTCAGGTTGTACATACGTGTAAATAAACCATATATCATAAAGACCTCACAGTCTCCGCTGTGCCTCATTCCCAAAAGGAAACACAGACCTTGGGATATCACACCGCTCAGAGATTGGGGTGGTATGCAACAATGCTATCATTTCATTGTATGCCAGGACTGGACACCCATCCTCCTTTCTGTTCTGAACACAGGAGAGCTGCAATGAGCTGCTCTCTGTGTGTCCTCACCACCCCCCACCCCTAATGAAGGGCATGCCTGCCCCATTTTGTGGCCCTATGTCTTCTCTTCTTTTTAGACATAGCAGCCACTGTACCATTTCCCCACAACAACTGTTTTTACTGGTAGCACCAGTATTATGGAATCCACTACCTGCTGAAATATGAGGGGCCCCATCTATAGTGGCATTCCACCAGCTTCTGGAGATATACCTGTTTATACAGGTCATTCCATTGATCTTTTGACTGGAGCTTCCAGTTTTAATTGCGTTGTTTTTTTTATTGTGTTGTTTTATTGCGTATTGTGATTATGAAAGTTTATATTGTAATGTCTGTTTAACAGGTTTTTATACTTTGCAAACCGCTTAGAAAACTGCTGGAAATCTTGGCATTTAGGCAGTATATAAAGGGCTGCCTGTACCATTTTGCCACCTGAGGCAAAAAGGAAGGCGCCCCACACCAAAGCCTCGCTTACCTGGGTCATGCAGTGGCAGCTTCCAGGTTCCGGCTAGATCTTGCAAGAGGTCTGTAAGATCTTGATGCAACCTGGAAGCCACCACCACCACTGCTACTCTCGTGGTTTCTGTTGCCCAAGGTTGCTGCCTCAATCCGCCTCATGGATGGTCCAGCTCTGCTTTATATTAATACATGTAAAAGTATTAGAAGTAATAAAAATGCATACACTGTTTGAAAAGTATACTGACGTTAGGATCAAAGTTACTTCTTTTGCAGCCCAATGCTAGGAGCAGCTAGCGCAGCAGGTCCCTGCTCACACTGCCACTTCAATGGTCACGCGCAGAG